GCTGCTGCTGCTGCTGCTGCTGCTGCAGTTTACGCAGCTGGGGGCGGGGCGGCGAGTGGGGGAGTTTGTGTTTGGACCTGACAAGTTGCTGCCAGCAAAAACGAAAAGCAAAAGAAGACTCGGAAGAGGAGACGGCAGCAGCAAAGGGGGCTCTGCGGGCCGCGGCTGCAAGGGGCAGAAGGCGCGCAGCGGCAGCAGCAAAAAGATCGGTGAGCTGCTGCTGCTGCTGCTGCTACTGCTGCTGCTGCTGAAGGGGAGTAAGGGGGACTATTTGCTTATGTTAAAAGCTGTGGGGATCAAAAGAACAATAGGGAAGTTTCGGGGAGCGGCGATTCAGTAGAGGAGGCGCAGCAGCAACAACAATCGTCACTTTCGTTTTGCTGCTGCAGCGACTGCTGCTGCTGCTGCTGCTGCTGCTGCTGCTGCTGCTGCTGCTGCTCGTATTGTTTATACATGCATAAGTGGGTGCGCTATGTACATGGTTTAAAACAGACGCACAGAACTGCTTCAATAATCTGCTGCTGCTGCTGCTGCTGCTGCTTGTGCCGCTGTTTGTGCTGCTGCTGCTGCGTGTTCTGCTGCTGTTGCTGCTGCTGCTGCTGCTGCTGCTGCTGCTGCTCAGGGTTCGAGGGAGGGCAAATGCCGCTGTACCGGCAGCTGCCGAAGTTCGTGGGGCGGCAGCTGGGCCCCGGACATCAGCAGCAATACAGGCAGCTGCAGCAGCAGCTGCTGCCGCTGCATAAGTTGAATTGCTGCAGTGAAGGAGAAACTGTTGACTGGCAGCAGCTGCTGCTCAAGGGGGTTTTCCTTGGGAAATATAGAAGGGATTGTCCTGTGAAAGTAAATCTGCTGCTGCCGCTGCTGCTGCTCGTGTTGCTGCTGCTGCTGCTGCTGCTGCGTGTGTCGCTGCTGCCGCTGAGACTGCTCCTGCTTGTGTTGTTGCTGTTGCTGCTGAGGATGCTGCTGATTCTGCCCCGGCTCGGGCTGCTGTTTACGATTGCTGCTGCTGCTGCTGCTGCTGCTGGTAATGATGCTGGCATAAAGGTTTTTGGTGGCTGTGAGAGTGCTGCTGCTGCTGCCATGTGAGGGCTTCTAGCCTTGGCGCTGCTGCTGCTTTTGCTGCCTTTTCTGAGTGCTGCTGCTGCATCTTTTGTTGCCGCTGCACTTCTGCTGCTACTGCATTGTTGCTGCCGCTGCTGTTATGTGAGGGCCGCTGCGGCTTCTAGCCTTTACGCTGCTGCTGCTGTCACCGGCTTTTCTGGTTGCTGCAGCTGCACCTTTGCTGCTGCCGCACTTTTGCTGCTGCTGCAATTTTGCTGCTGCTGCTGCTGCTGCTGCTGCTGCTGCTAGGTTGTGGGCCCCCCCTTGAGCCGCAAACGGCTCGGGCCAGATGGAGATGGGACCTTAAAGGTCAGAAACCTGACAGTCAAAGTAAGTCCTTCCAAGGGTTTAGGGTTTAGGGTTTAGGGTTTTGCAGTAACTAAGCTGTATGCTGCTGTGCCTGTGGTTGTTCTTTTTTGGGCTGTAGCTCTTCTGTGTTTAGGGTTTAGGGTTTAGGGTTTAAGGCTTAGCGCTCGGGTTTCGGTTTGTTTCGTTTGCCTGGGCTTTAGGGTTTAGGGTTTAGGGTTTGCTGCTTCTTTTTTTGTTTTGGGTTCATTTATTTATATTTCTTTTGCCTGCGGCTGTTTTGCTTTAGTGGCATTAGAGTTTGCTGCTATTGGTGCTGCTGCAGCTATTGCCCCTGCTGTTTCTTGCTGCTGCTGCTGCAGTGGTCAATGTTCATGTTGCTGCGGTTGCTGCAGTGATCAGTGTTCTTGCTGCTGCTGCTGCTGCTGCTGCTGCACGAGCTGCATTTTTTCTGCCTTCGCTGCTGCGTCCGAGCCGCTGCTGCTGCTCCCACGGCGCCTTCGCTGCAGCAGCTCAAACCCTCCCTGCTGCTGCTGCTGCTGCTGCTGCTCAGGCGCATGCATTCACCCGTCCTGCAGCACGGGCCATAATTCGAATGGGCGGCCGCTGTCTTCTGCTGCAGCCGAAGACCCACGACAGAGTGGTGGCTGTGTTTGACCCTGACAGCCCTGCGCCGCGTGTGTCTGCTGCTGCTGCTGCTGCTGCTGCTGAGGCTGCTGCTGCTGCTGCTGGCCCTGCTGCGGAGGGCGCAGCAGCAGCAGCAGAAGAGGGCGAGGCCCAGGTGTACAAACTGCAGCTTGCTGCTGGCATGTCGCTGCAGCAGATTTTGATGCTGCGGCGGCGCGCGCTGTATCTGCAGCTGCAGCGGCTGCAGCAGCGGCTGCAGCAGTGCAGCAGCAAGTTGCTGCTGAGCCCCCAGAAGGGAAAATACCAAAGACGCAAAGACAACTTAGCAGCAAGAGTTGAGAAGCTGCAGCAGGACCTCAAGCAGGTTGAGGCGGACTTGCAAGCCGCAGTGGACACCAAGCTCGTGCCCTCCGGCGAGCAGCAGCAGCAGCAAGAGCAGCAGCAGCAGCAGCAGCAGCAGTGGGAAGATGGGGGGCCCCCGCTACCGACGCTGCGGAAAATCCCTCGCCGTATTGTGCATGATGGGCGTTTGCCTAAGAAGCAAAGAGACTTCATCAGGTCAGCAGCTGCAGCAGCAGCAGCCGCAGCAGCTGCAGCAGCAGCTGCACAAGCAGCAGCAGTTGCAGCAGCAGCAGCACTAACTGCAGCAAATGGGGGGTACAGGCATAGGGAGTTGGGGTGTATAGACAGGCGTGCCTTGTGAAGAGCCATGAAGGCATAGATCACCCAATAACGACTTCTGCTGCTGCTGCTGTTGCTGGTGTTGCTGCTGCTGCTGCTGCTGTTGTGTTTCTTCCTCTGCTGCTGCAGATGGAGCAGATTTATCGCCAGGCAGGCGGCCCAGAAGTCAAATCCCTAGGGCAGCAAAAGCAAGAAAGCAAGCAGCTGCTGCAGCTGCAGCAGCTGCTGCTGCTGCTTCTGCTGCTGCTGCTCTCTTGTCTCTAGAGGGAGCCCCAAATCACAACTGGCAGAAGATTTCATTTTAGGGAAAGGGCCCGAGCTGCCTCTGCTGCCACATCGCTGTCTAGCTAACCACAGCCCGCCCAGCTAGCTAGCTAGCTAGCTAGCTGGCTAGCTAGCAGCTAGCCAGCTAGCTACCTAGCCAGCTAGCAGCTAGTTAGTTAGCTAGCGAGCTAGCTAGCTGGCTAGCTAGCAGCTAGCCAGCTAGCTACCTAGCCAGCTAGCAGCTAGTTAGTTAGCTAGCGAGCTAGCTAGCTAGCCGGCTAGCCAGCTTTTCTTGTTTGGCCTCCACTTGCCTCTGGCATCGCCTGCGGCTTTTGCTGCGAGGGACAGCTAGCTAGCTGGCTAGCTAGCCACTAGCCACCTGACCAGCTAGCTAGCTAGCTCCTCACCTAACGGCGTAGCTAGCTACCCAGCTTCCCTGCTAGCTCGCTAGCTAGCTAGCTAGCTGCCCAGCTAGCCAGCTGCCCAGCTAGCTAGCTACCCAGCTAGCTAGCTAGCTAGCTTCCCAGGTGGCCAACTGACTGGCCAGCTTGCCAGCTACCCAGCTAGCTAGCCACCCAGCTAGCTAGCTGCTCAGCTAGCTAGCTAGCTGCCCGGCTAGCTAGCTAGCTAGCTAGCCGCCCCCTGGTGCGTCAAATCCGGCGCGCATGCAACCTGTGCAACTGCTTTTAAGGAAAGAAAGGGTTTAGGGTCTAGGGTTTGAAGTGGGGAACGAAAGGGTTTAGGGTTTCCCTGCTTCAAGGTTTAGGGTTTGACGTGGGGACTCCGAACAGCCCTCTAAGCACCCGCGCAACCCTCCAAAGGCACTAAACCCTTTTTTAGGGTTTAGAGCTAGGCTCCAACTCAGCCCTCGGGCTTCGGGCTAGTCCTAAACCCTGAATTGTTGTTTAGGGTTTAGAACACAGAATGAAAGCCCCAAAGACAGGCTCTAGTGCATGCAGCTGCTAAACCCTAAACCCTAGTCTGCTAGCTCCCGAAACCCTCAAAACCCTAAACCCCAAACCCTTCGAAACCAAACTAGCCTATAAACCCTAAAGCATATCGTTTGGGGCTGAGACGCAGCAACTAAACCCTAAACCCTAAACCCTCGGTGCCTCTGGGGCACTGTGGCTCTAACGCCCACCTGCCGTAGGGGCACGAATGGCACCCAAACCCTAAACCCTAAACCCTCAACGCTACACAAACTACGGCGTCTTGGGCCGACAGCTAAACAACAAAGCCCCAAACCCTCTAAACCCTAAACCCTCGAAACAAACACGAAGCAACAAAACGCTGAACCTCCTTCGGGCCCCTGCAGCAGCTTATAAAGACTAAACCCCCTCCCAAACCCTAAACCCTAAACCCTAAACCCTAGTGGTGCAGAGAGCTGCGTACGACACAGAAGAGTCGCTCCGCGACAGCGCCTGGTTTGACTGCAAACAAAATAAAGCCGCAAACCCTAAACCCTAAACCCTAAACCCCAAGCTTCGCCTGTGAACCTCTAAACCCTAAACCCTAAACCCCAAGCTTCGCCTGTGAACCTCTAAACCCTAAACCCTAAAAAAGCTGAAGGACTTACTTGGGAGTAGGCAATCAGTTGGGTTGCAAAGCCCTGCTCGCCCTTTGCAGCTGCCAGGCCCACCAGCTGCAGCAGCACCAGCAACAGCAGCAGAAACGGGAGCAGCAGCAGCAGCAGCATCAGCAGCAGTGGTAGCAGTGACAGCAATAGCAGAAGCAGCAGCAGCAACAGCAGCAGCAGCAACAGCAGCAGAGCAAAAGTGCGAAATCAGTAAACCTCTCTTCTACTGTGTAGAGATCACACGGTCCAGACGCCAACGCAGTGCACCCCAATGGGGTTTAGGGTTTAGGGTTTAGGG